TAGATAATGTTAAAAAGTAAAATGGCATAAATGACTATAATGCTCTTCCAGAAATAAGAATCCCTGAGGTCTCTCTTAGTAGCAATACTTTAAATCTAGAAACTGAGGCAAAAAGAGGTGAAGCGATATGACCCAACTTTACTCAGTACATAAATGGAAAAGCAGCCTTTCAAACCCAGGTGAGTCCAATACAAAGTCTGTTTCCTTCTGACCGCCCATGCTACCGACCCGTTGCCTATTCAGGTCGGTGTGACCACAGTGGGTGCAAACATTTGCGTATCAATGTAGGCAAGTTTCTTTCAAGTCTAAGTAGGTACACAAGCCTGGCCCCAGAGCATTAGAGCAGTTTCTATCCAGCTGTGCCTGCTATACGGTGAGGCATGGGGTACTGAACCCAGCCCACAAACACTGACAGAATAAATGAATAAATGTACATAAAAATAAATGTCACCAAACAACAGCGATTCTGGCTGGAATGTTATTTCAGGTTTCTTCATGTTTATAATTAGCTGGGAAACAGTGATCTTTCTACTTCAATTTCATTACTTTTGCATCCTTTTCTTTTATCTAGACCAGAAAAAGAAACAGTTGCTAATTTGGGAGCTGTTGCCAATTTGGGAAGAAATTTAATTCCATTACGTATGTGCTCACAGGTATTCTACTGTATTAAATGTTGCCACCAGAGAACTGTAGAACAGGAAAGGTCACATGGTTTAGCCCCGAAGCTTGAGGAAAACCTCCCACAACTGTTCTAGGGTTTTGGAAGTCACTGCCTTGCTTTCAGTACCCTCCAATATCAGTCCCCAAATATCAATCCACATGGCAGCAGGAAGTCCCAGCTTTGCAGGGCAGTTTTGGTTTTACATAGATGCCCTAATGTCCCCATAAGCTAGGGTGATGCCGGTCTGCTTTATCCCTAATGTTATGTCATCATTATTAACAGCAGCCACTTTCACCCTCAAAAGTGTCTTGGTTTAGACAACGTATTACATGGTCACACTTCCTAAGCCCACCAGCATTTATGATAGGCACTCCAAGTTTTTGTTCAAAAAAAACTAATTCCACTCTTATTTCCATTTTCCTCTGACACATGCTCTTTGGTGAGCTCATGCATGGCTCATGATTGCCACCTCCTTTATACAGAGCTTGACCCACCTGTGAGTTTGCTCATGTTCCTCTTCCCTTTCTGAAATGTTCTCCTTCTTCAAACCCACTTACGTAAATCTTACCCATCTTTCAAAACTGAGCTCAAACCCCATTTCCATGAAGCTGCCTGTCTGCTTCAACCCACACTGACTTCTTCCTTCTCTTAACTTCTACTTGTGACATTTGCTTTGCTAAAATAGGGAAGGAGTGAAAGACACTTCGTAGATGACGGAGTCATGCCTCCCCTGAGCACACTCTGCCTGTACTTTTTAAGGAGAATGCAGGTAGTACCTGATTATGGTAATTTGGTCCCAAGCCCAACAAGTAGGCTTTCTTCAAATGCGGTTCATTAAATTAGAATATAAATATACAATCTACTTATACATACGTTTTCCCCAAAAAAACTGTTGTTCTAAGAAAACAGCAAATAGATCATTTAAACTAGACTCCCCTGGAGACTTCTGTGTCTGACCTCTTCCCCAAAGCAGCTGTGCATCCCCAACTACAGCATCCTTGAAAGACGGCCACCCGTGTTAGCCACAAACACACATTTATCCCGTCAATCTCTCCAGACACCTTGTTCTCTTGCTGGGAAGCTCAGGCTGACAAATTTCTTTCTAATCATACAGTATTTCTCAAAGTTAGGTTTGCGGACCATCTGCACCAGAATTATTTGAGTTGCTTGTTAAAAATGCAGACTCCCAGCGAGGTGTGGCGGCTCATGCCTGTAATCCCAGCACTTTGGGTGGCCGAGGCAGGTGGATCACCTGAGGTCAGGAGTTTGAGACCAGCTTGGTCAACATGGTGAAACCCCATCTCTACTAAAAATACAAAAATTAGCTGGGTGTGCCAGTGTGTACCTGTAACCCCAGCTACTCAGGAGGCTAAGGCAGGAACCCAAGAAGCGGAGGTTGCAGCGAGCTGAGATCACACCACTGCACCCAGGCCTGGGCAACAGTGTAAGACTATGTCAAAAAAAAAAAAAATTGCAGATTCCCAAGTCCAACTCCAAGTATACTAAATCGGCATTTGGAACAAAGAGGGAAATAGGAGTATGCATCGTTAGGTTTCCCAGGTGAAGTTTGTTTATTGTTATAAAGTTAGAATCGGTGGATTCTCTCTCTCTGACTTTTACATTTCTAACAACAGATAGCAACTCACTTTTCTTTTCTTCAAAGTAACTCTTCAAATACTGGAAGTCATCTCTCTGCCTTCCCTTCTAATACTCGGTTGTAGCCCACGTAATCTAACATTTCTTTACAACAAGCTTCCATCCCCTGAGCCAACCTGGGCACCCCGCTCTGGGTCCTCTGCTACTTGCCAATCTCGCTCTCAAAATAGGATGCCCAGAGATGACATGTGCCTCACAATTCGAGGTGAGAAGTGAGACTAAGAGGATTTTCAGTGCTTTTAGTACACACTGTCAATTTTGTGAAGGACAGTGTATCCACCTACACTCCTGGCAGCTGATGATGAAACTGCCCATTTCAGCCTAAACCAACCAGCAATAAGTATTGCCATTTTATAAATCTTTGCAAATTTAATAGGCACATGAAGTTGACTCCTGAGTTGTTTTAATTGGGATGTCTTTGTTTATACTTTTCAGATATTTATTGGCAACTGGTAGTTGTTTTATAAATTTCCTGTCCTTGTCCTTCCTGGTTTGTTGTTGTTGTTGTTTTGATTTTTGTTTTGTTTTTTTGCCTTTAACTCATTATGTTGCTGAGCCAAGTAAGTCCTTTCTATGCATCATCTCATCAAATCCTCAAAACGGCATTTCCCCCACTTTATAGGTAAAGAAACTGAGCTCTAAAAAACTGATAGCAGTTAGGTCTTCAGCTTCCTCACTGATTTATTCCTTCATTTAATCAACATTTTTTGGAGAAGTTCTTCATCTTTCAGACATTTTGTAAAATTAGTTAATAGGGTCAAGTAGCTGGTATGAAATTATTAGGAAGGTTCAGAAGGAAACTGAGAATGTTCCCAACTCTGTTTCCTCCTATTTCTACCTAAAATTTCATTTATTCTCTTTGCCTCTTTTCCTAGCCTAAAGATATTAGTGAAGAAGTAAGAATGTTCAGTAGATAGCAATGTTATTTACTGATACAAGGTTGAAGGAGGATATATGTACCTGTTTACATATTTGTCAAGAGAGGTAGCCATCCCCAAGAAAAGTAACAGAAAGGGATTAAAGAGAGCAATTTGGAAATCAGGCATAACTTTGTAACAAATCATAGTCCATCAGTAGAAATTGTTCAAAAGTGTATATGTAAGTAATACTGGCTTTCATTTTTTCCATTTTATGTCATCTTACATCCCAAGACCAGTGTTTATGCAATTAACTAACACTCTAAAGTTAATTCATTCTTTATAGCATTTTAGTCTGTACAGCTGAGCTTCTCATGGATTTGGCTAATTTAATCAAATTCCATGCAATTATACTTTAATTAAAAATACATATGCATAAAGTTGAAATCCTGATATTTAAATCAATTCAATTTGCAACAAAATTAGAAGAGATGCAAATGATTAATTACAGGTCGAGAAGCAAAATTAAAAATAATTCAATTCTACTCTCTTTTTTAGAAGGTGGCCAAGGCTCAAAGGTCATGAGTTCTCAATGTCACACAGTAAGCAGTAACACTAAGATTCAATTCCAGGCTTCTCGACCTCCAATCTGGAGCCCGTGCATCTGGGCCTTCCCCTGACATTTATTCACAACGTCACTGAAGCAGACCCTGTTCTCCCCAGAACTCTCAAAGCTCTCCAAATGAAACTTATAAACTAGGGATTAAAACAGTTAAAGCAACGAAAAAGGTCTTAGTTCTGGAGCTTCGTGGTTTCAGGCAGTCTGCTTAAAATCCTTGGGAGCCATACACATTCTTCTATAAGCTTTGATGGAAATTCGATTTATTCCTTATTAGTTATTAACAAAAACATACTCATTTGCAATTTCAAGGCCCTACATCTTGCCACAAATATTTCTTTCACATAATAAACAAATGTATTACAAAATGAATAAATTATATAAATTAGGGTGCTCATTTTCCCAAATAAGAAGGAATACATCTTTTCTTTCTTCTTTACTACCCTAAGTTTCCTATTACTCTCTGTTTGGACCAATCATTTAAAACTACACACAAACTTTAAGTTCAGTTTCTCAACACTATAGTTTTGATTTCTCCACAATGCACCACCTGGCAACCACACATTCCTCACAACATAAAGAGAATTTTAACCCTTTAAATAGATTTTAACCCTTTAACCCTTCTAAAGAGGGACACAAAGCAGATTTTAAACAACAAAAGCTACTCCAATTGACCTGACTGTTGATTGGTTATATTATTTCTAGAACTGGATCCTCTAGAACTTAGTCTGGATTATTTGCTAGCCTACACCACTCCCACCACAGGTGTTTCACTGTCTTTCCACCTTCACCCACCAGTAAAGCCCCCACGAGGGCCACCACCCTACAGAGCTCCCTCCTCCACACACAGGCCTTGGGCCACCCCAACAACCCCATAAGCAGACATTACCTCATCCACATTGACCCTCTCCCCCACCACCAGCAGACAAAAACTTACCCTAGGCATCACTCTAAAGTAACACATTACACCAAGGTCTGGCCTACATAATTGAATCCTACAACCATTACAAGTGAGAACCTGAAAGTCATGCTAACTTGAAAAACTCTCTTTGTAAACCTTGAAAACATCCGGGAAGGCTTCCATCTCACAAGGACAGGCTTGTCCAAACCTGTCCTTGGAAATTTAGGCAAGGTGATTTCTCTGTTCATTAAGATTCACAGGTCCTCCCCAGCAAGACAGAGCCCAGAGCGTAAAGCGCACACTCACTGCAAATCTGACTTGGCAGTTCTCCTCTCCTAGGTAGCAGAGGTCTCCCGAGACGTTGGTCTCCAGCCACAGGTGTTCTCCATTCACGGCATTCTCCTGCAAGAAAAAGACCCACCTGGCATCAATTTTTTTCCCCAGGGGTAAGGGAGACTAATTTAAGTTTGGGATACAAGAAAGTTAGTGAAACCAAGGAGTCTAAACATTTCTAATTTTATCCATCAAAGTATTGCTAGAGTTGATTCTACCAAAATTCTAAAAAGGGAGAAAGGTGTTTGGAAAAACTTTGAGCTATAATTAAAATAGACATTGGGTTTATAGCTGTTTTATCCATGGAGGTGGTCATTTTTGAAACACATTCAAAAAATGAGGAAGAAACACCTCGAAATAGTTTAATGTCAAGCCTTATTCACTTAGGCTCACTATTGCAAATTTCATGACAATTGAGACTAAAATTCTATTAAAATGTGTCTTTGCTTAGCGAATAAACTTATGAATTAGCTAAAAAGGAGGATGGTAGCATTAAAGTATTTTAAGTAAAGATAGTTTGAAAACATGGTTATACCAGTAATAGGTAAATTATATTTCTAAGGGCTGAGGCTTCTTAAAACTTAGTTCAAGTCCCTGTGTACTCAAAGCATAATAAGTTTCTACTAATTCACATCTTACTAATTCAGTAAGGTCTTCACCCAATTACTTCTCCATTTTTCAAACTACATGTTACTGCTTCTAAAAATATTCATATACTTTGGATGGGGAACAGAGCTGCTAAAATGTACGACCGGATGAGCATCAATCCTATCTTCCAGAAATGTGTAGTGTGGTATTGGGAAAAGAGGGGAGCAACTGGTTTTTTAATAGTATAATTAATAGAATTCCACATTCCTTCTTATGGGACACTACCTTGGAAATTATAGATTTATATATTAATTGTATATTTTGGTCATTTGCTCAAAAGGGGCTCTGAGCTCTTAGGGAAAATATTGTATCAAATTAACTATAAAAAAACAAGACTAAGCCTCCATATCTTGCCCTTGTCTCCATGTCAAGAGCAATTATGGAAAATTGCTCTTGTTTTTATCTTATTCATCAGATAATGGGCATGTAATTATTTTTTATGGGGGATGCTATAAAGTAAATTGTGTCCCCTCAAAATTCATATGTTGGCTGGGCATGGTGGCTCACACCTGTAATCCCAGCACTTTGGGAGGCTGAGGCGGGCAGATCACTTGAGGTCAGGAGTTTGAGACCAGCCTGGCCAACATGGTAAAACCCCATTTCAACTAAAAAATTACAAAAATTAGCTGGGCGTGGTGGCACGCATCTGTAATCCCAGCTATTCGGGAGGCTGAGGCAGGAGAATCACTTGAACCTGGGAGGCAGAGGAGGCTGCAGTGAGCTGAGATTGTGCCACTGCACTCCAGCCTGGGTGACAGAGTGAGACTACGTCTCAAAAAAAAAAAANAAAAAAAAAAAAAAAAAAAAAAAACCTGGGTGAGATGGCTCACGCCTATAATGCTAGCACTTTGGGATGCCAAGGCACACAGATCACGAGGTCAGGAGCTCAAGACCAGCCTGGCCAGCATGGTGAAACGTCGTCTCTACTAAAAATGCAAAAAATTGGCAGGCATAGTGGCACATGCCTATAGTCCCAGCTACTTGGGAGGCTGAGGCAGAAGAGCTGCTTGAACCTGGCAAATGGAGGTTGCAATGAGCCAAGATCATACCACTGCACTCCGCCTGCACAACAGAGTAAGACTGTCTCAGAAAAAAAAAAAAAAAATCTTATGTTGAATCCCTCACCCTCAACGTGATAGAACCTGGAGACGAGACTTTGGGAAGTAATGAGGTCATGGGGGTGGAACCCTCATAATGGGATTAGTGTCTTTATAAGAAGAGACACATGAGAGATTCTCCACATGAGCGTGCCAAGGAAAAGCCAAGTGAGCACACATCAAGAAAGCAGCTGTCTACAATTGAGGAAGAAGACTCTATACAGGACTAGAATCTGCCAGCACCGTGACCTTGGACTTCCCACCTACCAGAACTGTGGGAATTGAAGTCTGTTGTTTAAGCTACCAAGTCTATGGCATTTTGTTATAGCAGCCTAAGCAGATGACTTAAATAAGCAATTTTATAGAATGATCATGTAATTTAGAAACCCATCTCATACATAAGCCACTTTTATTATAACCTACTCCACAAGTGTCCACACCATAGCCCTCTGAATCCTAAAGCTTAGTACAGCAAAGCAGAAATATACATCAAATGGCCAGGCACAGTGGTTCACGCCTGCAATCCCAGCACTTCAGGAGGCTGAGGCAGGCAGATTACTTAAGGAGAAGAGTTTGAGACCAACCTGGACAATATGGTAAAACCCTATCTATTAAACATACAAAAATTAGCCGGGCGTGGTGGTGGGCACCTGTAATCCCAGGTACTTGGGAGACTGAGGCATGAGAATTGCTTGAAACCCAGGAGGCAGAGGTTGCAGTGAGCCAAGATCACGCCATTGCACTCCAGTCTGGGCAATGGATTGATATTTCAACTCAAATACACACACACACACACACACACACACACACACACACACACCCCAAATGACATTTGCTGGGAAAAAATACCAAGTGTCACCCACTTTTAAAATAAATATATTTCTTCAGATTCAGATAGAACACATTTTCCTTTCAGGGCATAGTGACTCAAACAATTCTGGGGTAAGAACAACCAAAATTTGTATTGTGACATGTGACCTAGCTGCTTCAGGATCCAAGAAAGGTGAGTCCAAGTCCTGGACCGCAGAAGTGAGTCAGGAAGGGACAGGAGAGGGTGAACGTTCTAGGGATATAAGCGTCCAGGGCTCCAGGACAATGCACAGGGAGACCCTGGGTGGGAGTGAACCATCCGCATCTCCTGGTAGCTCGAATCCATTCCTAAAGGGAGAGCAACACTGAACAGGATCATTGCCCTGTACATCAAAGGGTGGACATCTGTTCACCAAAACAACTTCTTCTCTATAGGTAATTTTTCCCTGTTGCAAGCATTGTTCGATTTTTTTCAACGAAGTCAATGAGAAAATAAGCTTCACCTCACAGTCAGTCTCGTGGGACAACAGCAGAGGAAAGAGAAGCATAGCTATGGGTTCAGACCCTAAAAGTTTTCAGATAGTAACAGATGACAAGAACATTAAAAAATAAAGTAGAAAGGCACTTCTTTGCAAGATGTCCTAAACAAATCGGTCCACACAATCTAAAATATTCTACTACTGGAAACTTTTCTCCAATTCTAAGTTATAACCATTTATACAGAATAATGTTTTTTCATTTTATTGTTCTACAATTTATTCGACAATCCTTTATTAATACCATTGGTACCAGGCACTGAGATTCTGTATTCATCAACAGAGTAAAATCTACCAGAGAAGATGGAACTAAAAGCATAGTAGTAACAGCCAATACAAGGGAAGCCACAGCAAAATCCGACCAACTATTTTAGAAAGTGAAGTCTAAAATGTAGCAGTGGGTAAAATGTCAAAACCTACTGATAAAGCAATGAGCTTTCAGCTCCAAGAAAGTAATCTCTAAGCCCGTGGAATGTCCTGCCTGATAAGAGTGTTTTTGTTTGTCTGGGGACCTTGGGCCATAGGGTATCAGCTTGACCCCCACAGGGGCTACAGGCTAATGTCAACCAAATGGGTAGTCAACCCTGCTTACAGGACCAACCCCCAATTAAAACTGGACATCAAGGTTCGGCTTGGCACTACACCATGTGTGTTATAGCACACAGTGGCTGGGAGAGGTTAGCTAGTGAACCATGACTCTACTGGGAAAGGGCTGTAATAAACCATAAATGTGAGTATTAACAGCTTTCAGGGAGTCCTATGAGTGTTTCTAGTGAGTTACTGAACCTGAATATGGACTTGGGGATTCCCAAACTTGAAACTGATGTCAGAAGAGAGGGTGGTCTCAGGGACTCTTGAATCCACATAAAGGTGTCTAGCTTGGGTGGCGTTAGCACAAAAATGCAGTAGACAAATGAACTATTTTTGCTTTCTTCCTACAGTTCTCATGAACCCTTCTCCAGCTCAATGTTAATCAACATGAGCTTTGGAGTCAGACTTGCTGCCTAATAGCTGTATGACGTAGGGCCCTTCTCACTTTGCCAAACCCTGTTTTTACTAATCAGTTGCATAAAAACCACTGTGCCTCCTTTACAGGACTACAGTGATGTTTAAGCCCAATGTTCCGCATACAACAACAAGTTAATAGATGTTCATTATATTTATTATTGTTTTGCTGTTACTCTCTAGTTGCCCTTCTTCCTCCTAATCCACAGATATTAGCATTAACTACATTTCTCTCCTTGGTCTTTGTGGCCAAGTCTGTTAGCCATTTCTCAAAATAATTATTTCTCCCTTTGCTGGACACACAGTTAGACTTTATTTCCCCAGCCTCCCTTGCAATTACGTGCAGACATGTGACCAAATTCTGAACAGTGAAACAGAAGCAGAAATTCCAGACTTGTTCCATTAAATCCTCCCACATGCATTCTTCCACTCTTATCTCACTGGTCAATTGGGAAGTCAGTCTTTTGGAATCCTCTTGGTGAGATATCAGAGCGATCCTCAGCATGGGTCACTGAATAGCTGTGTGTGAAAGGGCCTGACTCCCAACCCAACCACCTGGAATAGTCTTGGTCTATGACATGGGTGAGACACAACCTCTCTTGTATTAAGCCATTACACATTTGAGTAACTGATGTCAGAGATAAGGTAGTCTTGAATTCTGCATAAAGGTGTCTAGACTGGGTGGCATTGGCACAAGAATGCAGTAGACATTTTATTTGCTGCGGAGCCTCATTTACCCCAATAAATGCAGGCCTCTTCCCTTTGCTTTTAGTTTTGTCTGGGTTCCTTTTCATTATCTGAATCTACCCCCAGTTACTCACTATAACGCTGGGCAGGGCATCTAATTTCGGAGTCACGGTTTCTTCTGCTCTGAACTCTGTCACCTTCTCTGATTTATTTTACATTAGTATAAACTGAGCTCTCCCCAAAAGAGAGCCAAGATTGTGCCTATTCCTTGTTCAGCATGCTTAGA